CAACCAACTAACTAACCAACCAAGCAAACAACAAACCAAGCAACCAACCAACCAAGCAACCAAGAATCCAAGCGAGCAACCAAGCAAGCAACCAAGCAACCAAGCAACCAACCAACCAAGCAACCAAGCAACCAAGCAAGCAACCAAGCAACCAAGGAACCAAGCAAGCAACCAAGCGACCAAGCGACCAAGCAACCAGGTAACCAAGCAACCAAGCAAGCAAACCCACAAACACACTAAGACAATACATTAAAAAAAAACAACAACTAATTAGACTTCAGATGCACACCACCGCAAACACATTCCACATCAATCAAACATCCCCAAACAAACAACATATAGTGCTACATGGTGCTACAACACGACACCAGCTCCAAGAGCAGTAGACTTGATGCTGAGAGCCAGGACGCAAAGAGGCCCAAAAAGAACTCAGTCTTCAACCTCGGCCGGGCCATCGTGTGAGGACCTTTGGTTCAGCAAGTGCTTCCTTTCATGACCCTAAACCCCATTGACATGTGCAAAAGGAAAGCTTCAAACAAAACAATGGCAGTGTTTCTACTGGCCCAAGGCAAGACAAAAACTCCACCAAAAATGATGCTGACATCGTTCCAAAAGGGTGAGTCTTCCAACCTCAAAAGCGTCTTGAAAACTTCGCCGCCGATGCGGCCGCCATCTCCACGGTGTTGGTGCTCCAAACGAGTTTGGTCGGTCCGAGGCACCGAAGCTCGCGCTGAATCTTTTTCCTCCCTTTGAAGTCGAAACTCTGAGTTGCCTGGCAAAAGTGCTTCTGAAGTCCGCTTCAGCTTGAGCTTCGTGAGTCGTCAGTGAAGATACATAGTCGTCAATGCGAGGCATGTTCATTCACCAAACAAACATCAGAATCGTTTTAGTCGTTGCAGCATCTTGCCCAGTCCACCCCCCGGAGAATAAAACACACACTTGTCACTGCTTGTCACACTAGCCCTATCCAACTGGCACCTCAATCAGTCCCAAACTCCATGTATGGCATATTGACCAATCCCTACTACCTTAAGTTCAGTGACAAACCTAGGGGTCACCATCTACTAGTCTAGTGCGACACCCAGGAGGGGGGTCAATGGTAGGGTTCATGTAAATATTGCAGTCCCATAGAGTGTCTGGGAGTGGTTGGTATATATTTCTCACGTCTTGCACCACAGCCGGACCCTGCGCGCATTTGGACCGAAGCCGCGTAACGATGCAGCTCAACATGAAACCATGGAACCCTCCGATATTTGGTGATGCAAATGTCGCACAAACCAAGCGCTTGGGAAAAAAAACAACATGTTATACTGAACATCCTGAAAGAAAGAGCTTGTCGACTTCATTCCACTTACATCTTTGTTGTAGGCAGGGTCTTTCGTGGTTTCATCGCCGAACTCGTCCGTCGTCGCCCACCGTGATGCCAAGCAATGTGGAGCATTGCTTAGGCTACTCTCATCGATCCCAGTGGCCCAGTGGGGGGGGGGGCCACCCAAAGTTCAGAAACCTTGGGTGCCACTGGGATCTTTGGGATCACCAGAACCTGAACCCTCAGTCGACCGTTGGACGTCGCGACGGTGTTGGACCGTCGACGTCCAAAACCCGGCCTCGCCGTCGAGGAGTCCAAAGGATCCGCCCAGCAAGGCGTCGCAGGAGCAGAAGATCACCCGCCACCTGCGGTGTTGGCAGTAGCAAGGCATGCTACTAGTCACAAAGGGCCAGTGGGACGGGACCAGATTTGAGTCCGGACGCCGGATTCGGGGGGGGGGCCTGAAAAAGGTTTGGAAGGTGGAGTCTAATGGCTCCCCCAAACAGCTCTGCGAAACCGGAGATGCTGGGAGCTTTGAGGCTGTGACTTGCTGGCCCTTTGAAGACGGGAGTGGACAGGACCGTTCGCAGGTCTTGGGCATAAAGTGAAAGGGGTGGGTCTACAGTGGATTGATCTGAGTAGATGACACAAGATCATAGAGGCCAGCAGGAGTGGACAGTGCAGAATTTGGTCATATTAAGAAGGCAGCCTGGACTGAAATAGATTTATAGATTTATATATTGATTTAGAGACGTAAAACATATTTGTTGGACTGCTACTGTGGGGCGACCCAACTGCAATGCTTCTCACTTGGTGTATCAGTGCCGACAAGCCGCTTACCATCCAAAATGGACTCCTCGAAAGCCATGCCCTCGCCTAATCGCTGGTGTGAGGGACGAGTGGATTAAGACGCTCCTCAAGAGTCTTGTCAATCTCCTTCAATAGATAGAACAGGCCTTATACATGCATGCATAGAAAGGATCTCATGGAAACAAATCATGTGACATGTCCTTCTGTTTTTATTATCTGTTAGAACCCGGCTTGCTATATACCTGTTTTTTGGTCCAAACCCCCACAACAACTTGTGAGCTCCGGCCCTTCTCCGTTCCTCCGTTCTCACTCTCAAGGACTGAGTGCAACAAGAGGGGCCACAAGCCAACGGGGCGCCCGATTGAGATACGTCTCTGACTGGCACTGAAGGCACGACCATTTCAATATGTTTTCTCGCTTGAAATCTTGGGTGCTGGTTACTGCATGTCCCTGGTCAACAGCTAATTAGCAGTAAACAATTCCAGCTGAGGACACACTCAGGCGGACGGTCATCCGGTGTTTCACTGTGCGGCAGGGAGCCCACTCAAGGGCTGGATGAAAACCATGTGAACGACAGGCGGTTTTTCAGAGCAAATACCGATCGCGTCCTTTTTCAAGCACCACATACTTCAGTCCAATGTGTCTGTATAAAGTACCCTTCTGAACCAGGGGGTGCCTTCTTCAGTATCGGTCACATACTTCAAAGATATGGAAAATTCGCACTCACCACCATTCGGTCCCCAGCCACCTTGGTTCCCGCACGGTTATAAGGCCCAAGGTCCCGCACGCAGAACTGGCAAGGTCGCGGGACGCGGCGTCACGCCCCGCACCAAGCGGGACGGGTGGAACTCCGAACGTTTCCACCTCTTCAGGTTGTGTGGGAAAAAAACAATCCCCAAAAGGGTTTTAACCACTGACTTGGCTGGTGTTTGTTTGGGGTGCAATATAGTTGATGTTGATGTCAACTCACGATATAAATTGGACCACCAAATTCAAAGGGCCCGGATGCATCGGGATACCCATGGGTAGGGGTCCCCAAAGAGTATTCGTGGCATGGTGTCCAATACATGTTCTACGTGGGGATCTACTTTTCTATCTATTTATTGGGTGTCTATATATATTATATATCTATATAATCCCTGGTGATAGATGGGTTGCATCCCGATTTCATAGAGCCACAATCACCTGGGATCATATAATATATATATACAATATATAATATATATATATACAATATATATATATACAATATATATATACAGTACGTATAGTTGACATTATGATTCAGGATGATGCAGGTATTTTATGTTTTTTCTGAATCAATCAACGTATTGATTCAGGTATTTCAGGTATTCAGGTATATTCTGATTCAGGATGATTCATTATCTTCAGGGCTCCAATTGGCGTCGTTGGAGCCAGACTGGTGCTGGACTTCTGGAAGTTGGAGGTCGGTGCCCAGGTTTTGGAGGGCGGAAAAAACCCAAGCCGAAGTGGATCAGTGGACCTGTTTTTCCTCCAGAATTCTTGCTTTTTGCTGTTGCATGCTGTTGCTTTGGAATGAGTTCTTCCAAAGCATCAGGTTCTATTGAGTCTGCATTCTGGGTGACCTGTCGTTCCATAGCTCCCTGGTTGCCTGGTTTGCTAGCTGAGCGTAGACCTGCGGGACGACCGGGCGTCAATTTGACCAGGAGCCGCAGCGTCGGTCATGAACATTTGACCCGGAAAACCTCCAAGGTGCGAATCAAACACGAGGGATGAACTATGAACTGAGGTGAACTATGCCTTGGATGGCCCTGGCATCAATTGAACAAAATCATCGAAGACCTGTGCTGCACAGTTCATGAAAGTGGATGAAGGACCATCGGCAATTGATGCATCAATGGGCCGGACGCCGATTTTGACAAAGGCCGGTGCCTTGCACTTCTACTCAAACACACAGTGAGTTAAATCTAGCAACAGATTCTCCAAAAAAAGCCTCTTATACCTTATATCCTTTAAGAAGACTCCTTAATGCTCCTTATTCTGCTCTTTTACGGGCCAACACTCTTTGCCCCCTTTGGGGAACACCTCCCCCCAGCCCACCTCCAGTCTCAGGTTCACATCGTTGCTCACGAAGCGACCCCGCCTGAGCGGCCCGTGCAACCCCGCGGAGCGACCCGCGTCCGGTCGCTCGGTTGGACCCTCCACAGCCACCCCAGTCCCACCGAACCTGAGGTTCTGTACGACTGGATCCCGACCAGGTCATGTCCAAAGTCTAAGTCGAACATGCGGATGCCCTGGCATGTGGATTGATGACAAAGAATGAAACAAGCGGAGGGTCTTCTGCGCCCAAAAGCGGATGACTGGCATACCATCTGAAAAATGTCGACGGAGGAGAACTGGATAGAACTGGGGAAGACTTCTCGTAATTAGTGTAGATAATGCATCAGCCATAATTACAAAGCTATTGTTCGTCCAAGTGCTCATCCAACTTTTTTGGACGACACTTGAAGGTGCCTCTAGCAATATAATAGAGTCATGATCTTTGGCCAACGTACTGCGTAACTCCCAGACATACTGCGGCAGGCTTGCAACTACGGGTTGAAACTCTTTTATATACGGAAAATCCACTGACAGTGAAACCATCGTTTTCACCACCAAAACTCTGGTTTTCCTGATGGTTTCCTGTATATAGACTTTTTACTTTAAAAGTACAGTAATTCTTTCACCGACCCCAACATTGGGCCACCCGGCCCGTCCGGGATCGTCGATGTGATCTCCTGGCCAGCGGAGAAGGATGGCGTTCGTATTCGTCTGCACCGAGCGTCTGTGTTTCACCCGCATATCTCAGAATCATCTCAAAACGCAAGGACTCTGCTTGTCGATCCATCCACCAATATCACTACAAGTACTTGTTGATGACTTTGTCGATGTTCACATGCGTCCTATCAATTCTAAGCAGTCCACATCTTCAAACGAGTCCAGGCATCTTACTAGACAAAGGATCCAGGGTGTTGAAATCGATGCTTTTATTCCTTGGAAGCACTGATCGCCTTGAGCCTACTTGGAACAGCTGTCACTCTTTAGGGAAGGCACACAAAGCACCTTTGGTTGGCTGGTTGTCCAAAAAGGCAGGTTTTTTGTTGCTTTGCTTATGCGCCATGCGCCTGCCACTCTTATCCAATATATAGCCATAGCCCTTTGGTGATACCAACATGCTCCCAGCCTTGATCTCTTTCTTGATCTTGCTCACCTCCTGCGAGGCAGTTCGGCCACCCCTGTTCCCACGCACCAACGTACTCATTTTGGTGGATGCTTTTGAAGTTGGTGGTCTTCAATGCCATGGCCGTCAAATCAATTCTGCCTGTATGCTGCTTACAGTATGCACAAACGGAGAACACCAACAAGCTTCTGAAATCAAGGGGTGTCTCGGTAGGTGTCTCTGGACATCGACCCGTGAGCACAGCGTCCTGACGATCTGCTTCCTGGCCATTCAGATCGGGGAGTCGGGACAGGTGCCACCATTTTGGATGCAACATGATGCAAATGGATGCATGTAGCAGGTGTTTTTTTTTCCACAGGTTGGATGCTCTCATTTATCCATACGCTTCAACCAAAATGGGTGACGATCTCCATTGGAATGAGTTGACACAAATCAGGTGTCCGGTGTCCAACAAATTGTCTTTACATACTTTCATGTTGCAGTTCGGGATTGTGGATGAAACCCTCTTCATGCTGCACACAGTGGGGAACACCTAATTGTCATGCACTGCGGTTCTTCTTTTCCTGCTGGAATGTAGAAAGTCACAATTGGCTCTTGAGCGCCAACACGCTAAATTGCTAAACCAGCAGAAACGGCAGGAAAAGGATGACACCCGGCAGTGAAACCATGTGAAACCTCGACATCCTGTTTCAGATTGGTTCAGCTCTTGTTTGATTGTTTTGGCTGCAGAAGAAGCTGCCGGGAGTACCGGAGAAGCAGTTAGTTGCTGTCGTTATTGTTGCCATGGTGGCTTACCTTTGTTGCTTCCGCATGTGTCCGCTGCGTCAAGGGATGAACCGACCTTTGTATCAATGAATAACTCTGTTGACTGGGATCCTGATCGTGTCTCACGCTGGCCAAGTCTTGCAGTGATCTCTTTGGTCGCCAAGGCTATCATGAAAGTGGAAAACCACCTAAGTTTGGAGTTTGGAGAGGAAACATGGCCATCCAAATGGACAATTGTCCACTTCCATGTAAGAATTGATGGATCATGAGTCCTGTTTTTGCACTCTATCGCCCTTTGGTCTAAAAAAGCCGTGACCTTCGGATTCCGACGCCTCTTTCGATGGTCCCTTCACACCTTTGGTCCCTTTCGCGGGCGGCCTCGGATACGGCCCGTGCGTTCGGACGGACGTGGCACGTTCGATTCCAGATGAAGGCTCAAGACCCCAAGAGGTGGTTTATATGGACCCCTGAATGTTATATATATATATAAAGGACATCTATAGGGGTCTGTGCCATCTACTCTGAAATCACTGTAAAAACAGTTTCTTCAAGGATCAGTGCAGGAGCCCAGTTCGTAGCGTTCTTGTTACGAGGAGTAAGGCCAGGAGCCCCTAATTCGTAGCGTCCGATCGCTCCTAGTAGCGATGCCAGGAGCCCCTATAGTAGCTTCTTGTTCCTATTTCAAGAAGGAAGACCTATATGGGAGTATCCTATTGGAAGACATTTCACAGTACCCCACGCTTCTTCAAAGGCTCAAGGACCCACATTGGTCAGAACGGGGGTCGTTTGAATGACGAAAAGGCTCCGCAAAGGCTGGATGTGACCTCCGGCCATCGCCTCGTCCAGCTGCTGATCCCTCCACCCCACTCGCATCCCGCTCGCCACCCAAGCGCGCCCCGCTTGAGCCTTCGCTTGGCCGCATTTCGAGCCATCAGTCGGGGACCTCTGCCTATCTGCAGGCCTGGGCTGGAACCAGTGAGCGGGGACTGGTAAAGTGCCAAAGAACTCCAGTGCAAAGAGTTGCCGGAATCTGGAAGGCAACAGTGTCCTCTCAAGCACTTGTCTGAACCACACATCGAAATGAAACCTAGGCTGGCTCAGAATTGTGTCAAGTGTGCAATTTGTTGGGTCCATCGTCAGGTTGGCAAGTTGTTACAACAAGTGAGGACATTACACAATTCAACTAGGGGCTACCAAAGGGGTAACCCTGCGTCTGTGGCTGATAGGTGAGCCAGCCAAGTTGTGTGGGTTTTTCACCGGGCCTGTCTGATCTAAATCCTGGCCCTTAATAGGCTTCCAATCTGAAGTCATCTCCGGAATGAAATCTTAACTCAACATGATCTGAATGTGCGGCATCCTCCCACCATCGCACGCATGATCTGAACTTCCCACCATCTCCAACCGAAAGGCACCGCCCCACGCACCGCCCTACGTCACATGCTGCTGCTCCCAGCTTTTTCGGTGTCTTTCATCTCTTGGGGCGCGGAACCCCTCGGAGCTTCCTGCCAAATAGGGCGGGGGAGGAAGCCCAATGGTGGAGCTCCATGCCCCACCATCCACGACCCCTACTGGAGGGCAGTATCAACAGAAAACAAGTTGCTCACCTGCTGCAGTTGTCTACCTCGCTGTTCCGTTTTCGGAACAGTGACATGGCGAGCAAAAATCATGGTACAACCCTCCAAGATCTCCAAGCATCATGGAAGTGGAGAATTCGCCCCCCAAAAAAAACTTGAGGCCAGAGGGGGTGAACGAAAGCTAGCCGGGCTTCCGGTGGTCTGCTGCTGGTGCTGCTGCTGCTGGTGCTGCTGCTGCCGCTGCTGCGCTGGGCGCTGC